AGATATACTATAAATAACATTTAAAGCAAACTAATAAATAATAGTGTCAATGCAACAGCAATAATACAGCTAGTACAAATTCAGAAGCTGTGTGCACAGTACATGCTGTGGTTTTATCTACGAGGTTTGGTTTGTGATACAAGCATTGTTCCCAGTAGTCTGTAAATGTAATTTAGAATATGTTAGATCTCCCTCGAACCACACAGATTTAGTGTGATATGTTTCATTTTACCGCTTCGTGTGGCCAATTCAATCTCCACCCATTAGACAAGAGGAAACATCACTATTTTGAATTCATAGGTGTGATTTGAGACGGAGCCAAAGCAGTTGAGCCAAAAAAAAAATTCCTTAGGGGTTAGAGAGGAAAACTGTTAGGTGAGAGGCGCAATGAGGCCGGTTTATCTCTCGATGTCTGCGGGAGTCATTTGAAACATAGTCCGGGGTGTTTTAGTTTTTATCAATAAATGAAATTGTTTACTCTCAGAGTCACACATTAGAGCTTTCATGGCGTCCCGGCTTGTGTAGCTCTCATTCAAAGTACAAGTGATCTGGGAGAGAGCAGGAAGCAGAAAAGCAAACATTAAAGAGCAACGCCGTCCAAAGTGATCTTAACGGGTCTTTGAAAGCATCTGGTTGGACATATTTTATTTGTGAGCAAGTAGATTATTTATCAGTGTGAATAGTTCATGAATAAATGTTATTTTTGCTCGACTGAGTTGGGTGTGAGCAACACCAAGGTTGTGAGTTTTATTCCCTGAACACACACTTTTAAAATGTATGCTAGAGAACAAGTGTGATTTTGTGCATTTATTGGTCATTAAATTTGCTCTAAAATCTAAGTGCGGTATATTGGAGGTAAATCACCGTTTCAGACAAGCCACTGATGTTGGAAAAACATTCTGCTTGTTTGAAGTAAAAATTACATAAAATAAAATAAAGCGTCTGGATGTTTGACAGAGGTACTGGCAAAATCTTCCAAAGTTGAAACCAGTTAAGTTTGGGAAAACACACATGGCTAAATGTGGAGAAAAGAAAAGCAGGACCCATCAAGGTTTGGGGCTGTTGGTGCCTCAAGGCCTGGAGAACTAAAATAAACAAAAAATGATTTCTAAAATTATGGCATATTGCAGGAAAAGTATTGAAGCTTAACAGACTTTGTGTTACTGTTTAAAAAAAATTAACATTAATATATATATATATATATATATATATATATATATTAAAAAAAATATATATATATAAATATATATATTTAAAAAATATTTATTTAAATATATATATAATGAAATTAAATGAAATGAAATGAATGTTGTCTTTGGGGCCAACTGAAATGAATAAGCTGACAATCCTACAGCATTTGCCTATTTTGCTAATAACGTTCTAATTAATTTCTGATTAATTATCAATTGAGGAACATATTGGCTCTGTGCGCACAGCAATGATATATTAAGTTACCGCAATTACGCGGGGTCCTTGCTGTCCCGCCACATCTGCTTGCTGATCGTCTGATCTAAACATCTTAAGACATTGACAGCTCAAAGTGTACAACTGAGTAATATGGGCTTGTGTACACTTTATCCCAGACTGTGCAAAGGTGTAAAATGACTCATCAAGGACGTCACACCTGTCTTTTTTTTTTTTTTGTCTGTCTACCTTTTTAGAGCTGAACTGCAGTAGAGCTTACTGCCTCCCGCAGACATTCCTGTTGACTGGTTCTCAAGGGAAGCGCACGATACAGGCAAAGTAAAGTTCACAGAAGCCCTAGAGGAGCCACCTGTAGGATGTTTTATGCTAATTCGAGCCATGTCGGACGAACGCTTTTTCTCTCTGCCCTCCTGAGGGAGATGCCAGGCATCATCACTGCCTATCACGGTGGCTCTGAGAACTCTTTGCTTTGTGCTGCTGCTGGGCTACTTCTAACACAGCGTGAAGCAAATCAGAAACTTTTTTTGGGGGGGGTACTGTCATAACTTTTATTGACTGACGGGCTGTCACTGTGCATTAGTGGTAGGGATTTTTCAGCGACTCTCATCTGCAGGTTTTACCATTACGGCAGTAGGTGGAAACGGTTGTCTGCGCTGAATCAATGAATGAATCATTCATTAGACCGCATAAACAACACTATCAAAGTTCCAACGCTCAAAGTTCAAAGCAAAGGAAGATATTTGATTTTAAAGAAAAGGACTACACAGCAAAATCAAAAGTGTTAGATTTTCAGTGTTCGAGTTGAGAGTAAAAATGAAGTGTCTTTTTAAATCTAATTTATCTATAAGAGAGTTATTCCTCAAAAAGAGTTGGTGTTGTCACTGGGAGTTAAATCTCGTTTAACTCTACAGTGTATGTTTCAGGGCGGCTGGTGAAAAATATCTTAGGTGGGGCTGTATCATGGGACCATGGGTATTTTAGCATTGTGGCATACTCTTCCTCAAGACATCCGTCAAGCATCCACCCTTCTCTCCATCAAAAACCTCTTAAAAACACTTAAAAAATCTGAATATTACCAAAGTCCTTTTATTTAGTAGTGGAGTGGTGCGCATGGGCGCGGACGCGGCCGCGCGCTTGTTTTGGGCGCTGTAGAATCGCTCACAGCTGACTAGATTTGAGCTCGCTGATTGGCTACAGTTTATGTCAAACGCGAGAAACTTGACAGCTATTTTTTTTTGCTCGACTGGATCGGACTGGACACGTTCGTGAGTGGGAGCATTCACATGCAAGTTTAAACCATTAACTTAGGTTGATTTAATTATATTTGTGGTGGTGGGGCTATTTTTTCGACAGGTAATGCATAATATCCTAGTTAGTTTGATAGTGCTGCTAGCTAACCGGTTCACCATGCAACAGTTATTACCACGCTCAAAAGGATTTGTACGATTTCACGTAACGCTCAATGTATGGAACAAATACAGTAAGAATTTTCTTATTGGGAAATCAGTACCAGTAATATTAAAGTGGTCCGTTAACGTTAGTCAAATTATACCTAAGTAACGTTAGCATTTTCTTTTCAGGGTAAGGATATGTTTTGGTTACATTAGCTGCTTTACTCCATGTTGTATTTCAAATATGAATTAACACGTGCTTGGTGTATTTGTATTTGCACCATGTCTACAGCTGGACGAAGGTAGCTTAACGTTCAAATAACGTTAGTTGCGACACGTTTTATGTGAGGGTTTCAGCTAACTCAGGTGCTCTTCGTTTCGGAGTCACACTTGTTATCCTCCCTGTCAAAAGTGACCGGACACCTAAAAATTAAATTTCCTCCATCCCAGTAAAACCAATGCAATTTATTATTGTTCTATAATATTTATTCTTTGTAATTTAGTATTTTGAGACAATTTGATTGAATGTATTAATATTTATGCAATATTTATGGTCTATTTTTGCCATGAAAAAAAATATAAATTTTTCTATATATATTATTATTTTTTTCAAAAAATTATTAATGCAGTATTTTAGTTTAATATAGAGTCTAAGCCTTTTTTTTGAAGAAAATTAACACCATCTGGTTATAGTATAGAGAAAAAGCGTGGAATCATGGTGTAACCACTAGATGGCATGTACACAAATCGGCCACAATTCTAAAAAAAAAAAAAACATCTGAACATCTGAATTCCCCAGATGTTTATGAACACATTTTTATTTTGTTTTGGTGGAATTGTATATATAGTTGAAACAATCTCAAAAACGATTTTTTTATTAAAAAATTTTAAAAAAATAAATAAATAAATAAAAAAATTGTGAATTTTTGTGTTTTTGTCAATTTCCCATTCATTTTCTATGGGGGTGATTTTTGACCAAAGACCTCAAGTGTGACTATTTTTTAAGACCACTTAGCATGCTCAGATCAAAAAATTACAGATCAAAAAATTTTAAGACCACTTAGCATGCTCAGATAAAAAATTAGCATGCTCATTTTTTTTGTGTTCACACACATAATGCCATAACAGTCACCAAGTTTCGTAACATTCTTGATGAAGCTGTGATTTTTAAAAATTCAAAACATACTTTTTGTAATCAAAATTTATCGGTGTGTAGTATGTGTATGAAAGTGTGCGTGTGGGTGGGTTTGTCTGTTTTGCACTCTAGATGTTGTAGAGTGTCACCCCTTTCCTGCGGTTTACTTTTTTTTTTTTAGAATTGTGGCCGATTTGTAGATTGCACGTACAAAAATTCAGAGAATGTATTTATTTTTTGTCAATTTCCCATTCATTTCCTATGGGTCGGTCATTTTTGACCGAAGACCACAAGTGTGACTATTTTTTTTACGACCACTTAGCATGCTCGGATCATGACATAAATTTTTTTTTTCGTAAAGTTTCGTAACATTCCGATGAAGCTGTGATTTTTAGAAATTCAAAACAAATTTTTTTCAATCAAAGATGAGCGAAGAGCACCTGAGGTTTAACCAACTAAATCAGGTGCACATGTAACGTTAACTTTACTGGCTTTGGATGTGTAAATGAGCACGGCAGACGCGAATATGTCTCATTCACGTGTCGAGACAGGAATAAAAACCTCTCTTGGTAAGGATTAGTGAGGAGATTGTACAACCTGGTAAGTTGTAAGATGTACAAATTTCACTTTTGAGTCAGGTTATTGACCTACTAACCAGCTAGAAAACTGCCGTGCTGCCATTTTACTATTTTCCTGATAATATATAGGCCTACATATCTTGAAAAAAGATGGCCCCCAACGGTTTTCGCCTCCGACGCGCCTAAATTCAAACGTGTTTTTTTTTTTTTTTTTACTTTAGGCTTCCTTTATCATGTTCCTTTATGATTGTTGATATTGCGTTACTATTTTGTAATGAAATCGTCTAAATAAGTGTATTGCTTTATTTTTAGGTTATCACATTTCCAAGGGAAATGTTATGAAATTTTAATGTAAATGTTATGTTAACTCGCCTCACTCGCATCTATTAGCTTTACTTTCTGTGTTGGTGCTTGTCATGGTAACGTGCACATTTTCTCATTCATTATGTTTTTGTTTTTTTGTTTTTACAGCACATCATGTTGGTCAAAGTGAGATTTGGTGAAACTCAGAAGTATGTTAAAGTTGCCCAAACTGAAGAGGGTTATGAGGACTACAACACATTTCTTCCGAAAGGTTGGCATTATTTCATTACACATCACTTACTATAAATGTCTTTTCCATTTACAATGGGACTGTAATCTGGTTATATTGCCCCAGCCACCAAGTTGTTTATTGTGTTGGGCAGTAATCAGTTCTTTGCAAACAGTCCAAATGTAGAATCTAAAATGCAGAAAAAAAAAAAAAAAAAAAAAAACACTGCACACTGCTCAGAATGCTCCAATTGTTAATACTTTTTAATACTGTATACAATATATATATGGCAACAAATGGCTGGTAGGGACTACACTACATTCCTCCCGGGTTAGTGACATCACCAACCCTAAAATGTTCATAAAACCCTGCCCCAGGAACACACAGTCCACATTGAGAAGAGTAAGAGAGGTTGTATAAGAGCACATTTGTGAGTCAGCTCAAACTTTAGAATCCATCTTTTCATATGCAATGTAAAGTCACTCTGTGTACATCTCACAACAGTTCCTATATGAGCGATTTATAGATTACATGACAGAAGATAGGTAACTCCACATCAGCAACAGAAATTCATCAACTAACCATTCAGAGACATCCTGTTGTCACTTCTTCTTGAGTCTCTCCATCTTTAACTGACTCCGTTTTAAGATTAAAAGGAGAACAGTTTTGTCATTTTAGTGTGTCTGCGACTCTGCGTGAGGAAATCGCAGCTGCTAACACACACAAGCTCTTGAAACCCCGCCCTCTGCAGCAGCTCGAATGGTGCGCTTTTTCAAACCCTCAAAAAGTGACAAATTTAACATGCTATATAAAAACATAAGTGGGGTATTTTGTGGGGGCATCAGAGATTTATTTTACATCTTGTGAAAATGGCATTTTACCAACCCTTTAAGACATAGTTAGTTCACTCAGTAGCCATCTTTGTTGGATCCTCACATTGTTCAGCTAAAACGAAACATCCTCTGAACTGTGGGCAACGTTCTGGTAAGGTTCTCTCAAAGATCTTCCTGTATCATTATTAGAATGTTGGTCTTTAGTAACGTTCTCAAAACGTTAGCACAAAACAGAGAAAATCAGCTCATCTCACGGAAATTCATATTTTACGAGGCGACAAATTCATACAACCTCACTTGTACGAATTCGTACGATTTTTGCTAAATCTGATATATTTTAGGAGTTGCCCAATTCGTACGAATGACCTACCCCTGACCCTGCCCCTAACCAATCACTGGGGTTTAAACAAAATCGATTCATACAAATTGGTCGTGAGATAGCGTTGATCTATACAGTTGTAATGTAAAGCGTGAAAAATAAAATACAGAAAAATATAATAGCCAACATATTAGGGCTGTCAGTATTAACACATGCAATTCATTCCAGCCCATTCTCACCCCCAAGGCGTCACTTAACTGACGCCTTGGGAAGCATTTGGACATGCTTCAATATCTGACGCTTTAGGCGCCCTTTAGCGTCAGTTAGATGACGCCCTAGGATCGCGTGTACCCTACCCCCACCCCACACCTAAACCTAACCGCGTCCTCTAACTGACACTTTCCTTTAGCGTCAGTTAGATGACGCCGTAGGAGCGCCTAAAACGTCAAATATTGAAGCATGGTCAAAGGTGACGCCTTGGGGTGAGAATGCGTTGTTCATTCAAAATCCTTAAAGAGTAACTAAAACACTTAACCAACTTTTTTTATTTAATGATCTGTAAGAACGGATCTTTATTAATACCAGTCATTGATTCGAGTAACTTTTATGGCATTTGTTGATAAAGTGTTCTATTTCTACAATATATGGTGTAAAATCGTCTTAGTGCTGCCCTCTTCAGGTTGAACGGTGGCTACTGCAGTTGAATTTTCCTATTGGATGTTTGCGGTTATACGTGACACAGCGGTTGTTGGTGACGTAGGCAAGTTCCATACAAAGAGATGCGTCATACAAAGAGATGCACGCCCCCCTCCGCTGGGCTCTGCCCACTTTTCCAGCATTTTTCAAATACTGCCAGTGGGTGGAGTCAGGCTCTGACCAGGGGTTTAGTTACCCTTTAAGGCATAGGCTAAATGGATTGTTGTAGTGTAGTAAAATCTTCCTATTATTACAAAAGCAGGTGCAGCTGTGTTCGCATAGATCTCAGCTGCATAAGCCATGATATTAATGTAGCACATGTCTGTCTGGATCAGCGAGGTCTCCCAGCGCCATAATCCCTTCATCTGTTCTGAGAACATATACCGGTACCTACTCCCTGAAAACATCATTTCCACCTGTGAGAAGACGCATATGAATTGATAATGGGATTCCACACAGCAAACATGCATTTTATCTCCTTCAATGAGAGCTCCAGCATACTGGAGAACAAGGGGACATTCATTATTTCAATGTCCAGCTTCCTAACGCTTTAGATCCTTATTAATAATACGGGTTAAGAGAGTGCTATATTTCAATTACCACTCTCATCTGCACAGTCATAGAGATGTAAACAGTAGGACGCTGTGCAGATCGTTGAGATCTGTGCAAATGAATAATAGAGAAACCAGAGCGGTATTTTCTGAAAGTCAATGAATAAATCAGTCACTTTTAATGTGGCACCTTAGTATTTTTCATAGTTTTAAATGCCCAAGGTTGCTCTCCATTTGACTGTGGTTTACTTTCTATTTGGATATAATATAATAGCTCAAACATATGCTCATTGTTTTGTCATTATCATTTTAAGTGTTTTTGTTGTTTTTCTTTCATTCATTGATAGGTTCTCTGGATGCTTCAATGCTTCATTAGCATTTCAATGCTTCATTAGCTAAATGATTGACACCATGGTGTTTGAACAGACTGTTTCAACTTTTTGGTGGAAGTAATCCTAGAAGGAATCTTCAGAATGATTCAGACCGCCAACTCCAGTTTGTGATCCAGTTTGTCATTTGTTTGTTGGATATAAAATAGAGCCCTATGATTCCAAAATAATACTGAAAATACAGATGGAATCAGGAAATTAAGTCATTGTTTGGTATTTGGTATTCAATTCAAACACAACTCAATTTTTTGGCTTTTAGTGATTATAGCCTTAAAGTTATCTATAAGATATAATATATTTTATAGATATAAGTATTAAAAATGTACATATCACTCGCCAAAATGAATAAATTATTTTAATGACATCACTCTGCACTTCAGCTTCTCATCAGATTTTCAATTGCTCTCTAGAATCTGAAGCTCCGCCCCCTGCCCTATAATAGACGCTGAAGCTGCGGCTGAAATCGGTCACTTGTTCACACATTACCATGTTCTATATGATGAATGACACATAGTGCATAGAGGATAGGGAATGATTCAGACAGTGCAATTATGCTTTCCATTGGGCGAATGAAGTCTGGTTTCACATATGTCATGCGAACCACTGTAGCGCGCAGATAGTCTGCTTCGGCCCAGATACATGATAGTATGGAACGGATCTTGTGTGCAAGTCGGCACAGACCACAAAAGGTACTAGACCCATTTGTATTCTTCACAGAATGCCATTTTAAAGAGATGGAGCAGATTAGGAGGAGAAATGGTTAGATAGACTAGGAATTACAAACAGCACTGAGATAACAGAGGTGCCATGCACCAACATAAATTACACACTTTTCAAACTTTAATATATTAAGTTTCAATTTCATATTAAATCTAAAAGGGGAATTTATTAGATTGGCAGTCAAATGCGGCTTTGCCAAGCTCAACAGATCAGGCGAGCTGTGATATAAACGAAACGCTATTATATTATATAATTTATATTGGCGTATATAATTTATATAATTATTATAATTAATATATATTGGCTAATTTAAGAAAGGGGAGGAGCTGCTTGATATGTCCCACCCTGGGGCGCGTTTCCCGAAAGCATCGTTAGCCAACATGGTCGCAAGTTCCGTCATTATCAGCATAGTTCAACGAGTCGGTGTTTCCCGAACCATCGTTCCAACGAACATTCGCAAACAGCATCGCAAATTTGTGTGGTTTGAACGACAGCTCTCGACCTGTGGTTAGAGGCATAGTTTCTATATTGCATGACATTTGGAAGTAATAAATCCTTATCTTGAGCAAAATAAGCAAGCTGACATTCAGTACAACCGGTGCCAAATGTAATTTACGTCTTTCAGTTTGTCAAATGATTTAAAGTACCGATTTTGAAGAGTGCGAACGTGGAGACAATGGGAGAGGAGAAAATTATTGTCATGAAATGTAATTTTAAGAGTGTTTCAGGCGTTTAAATTTCAAATCTGTGGTTTATTTATACAGATAGCACCTATTTCAAAAATTTATCTGATGTTTTCGGAGCTCTGACATGCAAGCCTTCACCACCGCCCAAGCGCTCATCAACACCGACTGGAACAGCTTTTCCTCGGCTAGTGCTTCTGACGTTTGCTGCTGGCACAGATGTCTCGTCTAGTGGATAAACTTGACGTATAATTCGTCTTGTGTAAAAGTCTATCTTTGGTCTCGTCTCATTTAACTAGTTTGTTCCATGGCAAAAAAAATAAAAAATCGTTTATTGTGTTATTATAAATACATATGAAGAGTTCAGATGCAAAAGCATCCAAGTGCCATTTGAAATTTTCTTCTAAAATGATAATTTTTTTATCAAGCTTGTATATTTCAGTTCAGTAATTTCACTTAAATGGCAATGAAGATTACGTATTAATTGTCATTTAAGTGAAATTACTGAACTTAAATATACAATCTTGATAAAAATGGTCATTTTAGAAGAAAATTTCAAATGGCATTTAGAGGCTTTTGCATCTGAACTCTTCATATCTTTATTTATTTATTTCATTTTTTTTACATGATCTTCACTATATGAACAATAAAATAAAATGAACTCAGTCTTTATTTGTTAAATGTCAATACAAATCAATAATGTGGATCAAGATATGGAGTGAAGATAATCATACGCCTGAACCACATGGCCAAATATGTTTAAGATTTTTTTTTTAATAAAAAGAGGCAAAGTGGGGTTTTATAACAAATTTCGTTTTATTTTTGACGAAAAGAGGCAGAGTTGTAGCATAATTCGTTTTATTGTTGCCTAAAATATATACAAATAGATAACCGGAGTAGCCAGAGCGTGCTGAGTGACGCGATCAAGTACGCTCTGTTCCATTTGCAGAAGAACCGGACTTGCGTCCTCTTGTCCTCGGGAGTTCGTTCTCCTGAGTCGTACTTGGCAAGTCTGAACTACCAAGGACGCAA